GTTCGTCCCCTGGATCCGCCATGGCGCTTTCGCTCGCCCAGCCGGGCCACTCCGGCGACCCGGGCCCACGGGCGCTCCCGCCTCTCACGCTCCCTCAGGAGACAAGAGTCCCGGCTTGGTGGGCTCTGCCGCATTGGACCCGTTCCCTCCTCCCACCAAAAGAGGCTCGCGGGAAAGCCATACGAATTTCCCCCTTCCCTTGTCGAGGAGGTGTCACATGGAGGACCAAGCGCTTTACACTGCGTCGGGTTTTCGAGTGAGGCGGTAGCCGTTTTGCGCTGGTGAATGAGGCAAAAAGGGCCGGAAATTTTGCCTAAATAAGAGGCGCGGTAAACCAAAGCTGTTTCTAAACCTCCTCATTCTCTCCCAACCCCCTTCCCACCCCCGCGCCCCCGCCAAAAAAAATGTCGTACTCGCTGGTCGAGGCGGGCTGGCCAGCGCGCGGTCCCTGCTACAAGTTGGGAGGGACCGCGGGCCAAAGCACGTTGCCTAACCCGGCTGTTAACTCCGGCCTCCGCGGCAGCGGCGCGCGCACGACCCCCGCCTCTGCGCGCGCGGCGACGCCCGCGGGAGGTTTCCGGGCGCGCGGCCCTTGGCCCCTCTGCGCGCTCGGGTGGTGGACACCGCGCGGCCTTCTCCGAGCCGTAGACAAAGAGACAGGCGGCCGCTGCGGCGGGGGGGGAGAATGTCAGGTTGCAACCGGCGATGACTACGTGCGGTCTGAACACGCTGGCGGAAGCACAAAAACGTGTGCATGTTTGCATGTAGAAACGCAGGCGGTGACCTTTGTCCCCCTTAGACCTTCAGTTTTCAGGCGGCGTGGAAAACAAGGATGTTTTCTTCCTTTTAGCGATCGCTGACTTAGCCTGTCCGCCAGCCCTGCTCCATTTTTTACTTTGCTTTCCTTAGTTTGTTTCTTATGTGTTCTGACGTGAAATGTTCAATTTTTTCAAACACGAATTTTCTCCCTTGCTTTCTGGTGGTGGTGGTGGTAGTGGTAGCGGTAGCGGTGGCGGCGGCGGGGGCGGTGGTGGATTTGTTTATTTTTTCCTCTATTCCCCCCCTTTGCAGTTACTTTTTATTTCACCTTCAGTGTTTTTAAAAGAAATAAAATAGCCTCCTGACAAAGTATTCCTTTGCATCACAGAGACAGACTAGATGTCAATTTTATTATAGTAATTGCTTTTGGGTAAATTGCAAGTGCATTTTTTTACCTTCAGTTAGGTCTAATTGAAACATCTCACACAGTGAAAACATTCTAGTGTTTGTTTTAGAAACCAGGAAAATTTAAGCAGGGACCTCGGGATGGTAAATTTTCTGATGAAACCTACCACACAGAAAAAGTCAAAGGAAAGAGTTTTTTTCCTTTTGTATGATTTTTTTGGGGGACGGGGGGTCTTTTTAAAGATCCCGAGTCCCAATGTTAAGAAATTACAATGCAAACACCTTTATTAACAATTTTATTAATTTTAAAACAGCAAAAGCTTTGATAAAGTACCCAGAATCTCAAGATATAAATAGCTAGTGCTGAGAACCTGATATTAACTCTGCCTCTGAACAGCCATTAAAAGAAACTAATAGTGTGATATATGCCACTTTCCAAATGAAAGAACCTGTCAAAGGTTCAGAAATAGCCAAATGAATCATTGAAGTAGTAATTAATAAAAAGTTATTACACACACACTAAAAAGGCAGGTTGCAAACCAGGAGCACTCAAGGCAAAACTTGGAATGAGGCTCTATTGGGATATATTGTTAAAAAGCAGCTTGTGTAAGTGAGAAAGCATTAACTGTTTATTCTCCACAGTGATTGTTTACAATATTAGAATTTTCAGTGGCTGCCTCATTTCAACCCTGGGAAACAGTTCGAGTTTGTCAGGATTTCCAGAGGCAGAGGCAAGAAATGACCAAGGTCAAGTAAGCTAAATTAAACTTTATCTGTATGACTAAATTGATTCTGGCTGTTCGGGGAACTTGCAAATTTGACTTCTGTTTACTTGTGATTTTAATAAACCCTAGAAATTATTTTAAAAATCTAGCAAATTAATGTTAATTTTGTTCACATGAAACATGTTCACCATGATCATAAAAACAGGCATTTAAAATCTTGATTTTCCTTTGAACATTGTTATGGATTCATCACATCATAAGTCTGAACAATAAGAAGTAAAGTGTTCTTAACATTGGAAAATATATTTCAAGCCACCAAGTCATCATCTAGACTGAATATTTCTTTGAGTTCGCTTACTACACCAATAAAAGAAAAACATCAATACTGTAAAGTTCTAAAAGACTGATTCAAAGGAAGAACAAAGCAATCTTTACACAACATTCACAACGCCATCTTGCCTTTTAAAATATTTATAAAGATTTCCTCCTTCCTTATTGGTTTAAATTCTAAGTCAATAGGAAAAGCACAACACATCTTTTAAAGTACAACACATCAGCATTAGGTCGAAGCATTAGATAAATGGATTGTTTATCATCCTCAATCTCATTCAAGACTAGGTATCTTTCAATTTCAAAGAAGAAATTTAAGAATCTTTGGATTATTGGGTATCTTTTTGTACCTTAAATACCAAGGTGCTACCCCAATCACACTATACTCTGTAATCTTCCAATTGATTATGTTACAATTAGTATAATATTTAATTCTCTAAAAAGCCAGAATAGTGAAGAATGGCAAAATGCCTAATAGTTAACACTTTGAATAAGATGAAACCTGGCCTTTCTTTAGGTGAACAGCTGGTCTTCAAAGAAATAATAAAGTTTATGTTTTGGAAAATCACTTGGATTTTTGTAAATAAAATGGCCAATGCATTATAAATAAATCTATATTCGTGTGATGCCATCTTTGGTCTATGTAACGTCTAAATTCTAAATGTGCTTGTCTGTGTTTAGAACATAAGTATGATTTCCTCCCAATCAAAAACAATCTATGCCACCTTTGCATTCTTATATTTTGATTTTGACTTGGAATATTCTGCTTATTTATAATTATTTAATAATCTCCCTTAGCAGATCATCTATTCCTTGAAGATAGGTTCTGTTTCCCCTCTAGCTTTGTATTCCTCACTGCCAAACTTAAAGTCTTATACAAAATAAATACTCCATAGATATTTGCTAAGTGAAAGAATGAGTAAGCATTACTCTATGACTAAGCATATGGTAAATCAAAAGCAAATCTGTCTTGGGATTTTTTTCTTTTCTATATAATATCTGATAAGCATTTGTTTTCATTCCCAATTAAACTTAAATAGCATTGTGCAAGAACTTTACCAAAAGAAAGTAGGACTAACATATGCTCAAACTCCTGTATTTTTCAATTTTAAATCTGGTAGAAACTGGACAGTGGGTGATATTGCTGTTATCTAAGGTAAATAAGTATCAATGGGCTTATCTTTATAAATGATTGCTTTAACACAACAGTAGCTTCAAGCTCTGTGGCCTTGGGAAAATTACTTTAAGCCCTCTCAAACTCAATTTTTTCATCTCAAATGCATTCATTATCTACTTTCTAATTAATTAAAATAATGAAAGCACATAAAAGTGAGGCTCAATAGACGGTAGGTAGTTATTTGCAGTTTTTAGATGACTCAATCATGAAAAGCTAATTTTCTTTTTGCAGTTATTTATCTATGTATCTATAAAATGCTTGTTTAAAAAAAAAAAATGAAACAAATATCCTGAGGGATACTAAAAACATTTATGAAGAGGAGACAACTTTTAGAATTGAAATTTGCTAAAGGAACATATCTGATGTGTTCTCAACATACATACACATAGAAAAGATTAACTATGTGAGGTGATGGATGTATTAATTGTAATCATTTCACAGGGTATAAGTATATTGAATTACCACACATTTTAAAGACATACAGTTTTATCAATTATACCTCAGTAAAGCTGGGGGGAGCGGGAAAAGTCAATCTATTATTGAAAAACCAAACAATAACAACTAAAACAAAACAATTAGGAGAATGATGGAATTCCTGGCTGAGTGAAAAATTCACGAA